AATTACGTTTTCGAACTTAAAAGCAATCTCATTAGTCCGTCAGTTCCGTTTTAAAGAAAGTGGGCCATTTACGAAAGACCATTTTAAATTTCAGCCGTCTCCAATAGATGTGTACCACTGTTCAGACGTTCAACGATCGCATCACTAAGCTACAAAATAATCTTGATCGTTCCAGACTCCGTGAAGCATACATCCTGTCCGCTGATGCGCTAATTTACGAACTGCAACAACATCTAGCTTCGTAGTTTGGGCAACAAAATGAGCAGTCGACTGATTACACTGCATTTAAAGGCAGGGCTAGATTTGTAGATGGTGAGCACCATGTAGAATTTGTCAGACTGGGGTGGAATCTACAGTAGACAAAATGATAATATTGACACTGTACTACTGCACTACTGCAGAGTGCAAGCGATCTGTGACAGCAAGCATGGGTGGGAAATGTGGTCGGCAAGAAGAATGCAACATACAATCTTTGTAGTACTCATGGTTCAGAAAGCCAAAAACTTGAGACTCCTCACCAAACGTGAAAACGCCGTCGCAACTGAAAGTAGCGCATAACAATATAATGCAATGCTTAGCTGACCAGAGTTATGAAAACATCAGGCTCTTAACAATTTCGGATTGGTGAAATTCTGTATACCATTATACACGCTGAAAAATAGCGTAAAACACGGTTTTCATATATACGATGCAAATGATATTGTAGCTAGTCCGGTGACAGACAATATCGACATTTCAGCCGGTATTTCACGGACCTTCTTCAAGGTAGGTTGGTGGTGAAGTTTCGTGGATGTAGCTAGTCGTTCGCAGCTGCCGATAATTTCTGGGCAAGAAGACAAGCTTTCGGTCCGTGCAGCTGGTTAAATAGTCCGCGCAAACTGGATGAGTCTCGTTGCCCCCGTCACCCAAAAACTATAACGATGTAACCAACAAGTGAATAGTGTACAGACTTTATGATGGTTGGTACGAAGATCGGTTCACTGCAAAACTAACGGCTTAGAAGCAAAATCTTTCGGCCTGATGCCGACAAGTGGCCTTCGATAATACATACAGAATCCCTTAAACTTAGCTGCTGCTGGGCTGCAGGATAATACACATTTCAGCGTCTTACGGTAGAGTGACTACCGAAGTTCAATGCAAGTTGAGGAACTTAGTGCTAATTCAGTATACATTATTCGCACCACTTCAGCAGAGAAAACAGCTGACTAATTTCTGACAGTTTAGCGATTATTCCTCTCCGTTTCCTGATTAATTGCTCAGTGCAACAAGTTATTACAAAGACGTAAAATTCATTTGTTTGCTAACGCGTTTCGATAGCGCACAACGGAGTTATCATCAGGACAAAATGGGAACAATCGTTATTCAGAGAGGCAACGGATCGATGTCCATGTACGCATTAATGGGGAAATTCGTTTTGACAGTATATATCACATATACCCATCAAGGTCTTCCAAATGAGCGCTTGCAGCCATTACGATACTAATCCGTCACTGCTGAAGTCAATCGGTCATCCTTCATGATACCAATAACCCATTTCAGTAGTCCAACTCGAACCGCACCTAGGAAACTGGGGGCTATTTTGTCTGCGCTTACCGTTTTTTGAGCTTGCCAAATGGTTTTAGCTCTCGTCAGTGTGAGCCAGGAGTCTCGGGCAGAATGGGGTTCATGGCGAAAGGTAAGGCTTTAGACGGCTCTGTAAGGTTTGGCCTGCTAGGGGTTTTCCCCAGTGAGCTAAGACACAGCCACCTCTTCTCCGGCGGTTGCTCCTTTCACCACGCAATGTAGCCTCATCTCGCGGAAAAAGTATCTCTAATACGCAATGGGAGTGCATTCTGTCATGTACCGATTCTCTAAAGCAACTTGAACGTTCAAAGAAACGCTCAAAATACACTTGAATTCCCACGAATGCATCGATTTTCGAAGAATTGTTTCGAACCAAGAACGCTTTATCCAGTGCAAATCTTTCAATGAGGAAAATCACATTTCAGTTTTTTAATCGTTACAGACGAAACACGAATCGCTAACTAATCAAAAGTTCAAACCGGTGTAGCAGAGAGTAGATGAGACCCAAATAAAACTAAAAGACAAGATATGATTAGTTCAGCATCAGGTCGTAAAAAGATTTCAAACTGCTTTGATGAACAAAGTGGGAAACAACTGCGCTGTAGTGGAGCGCCTGCATTTTACCATTCTGAAGTCAGACCTTAAAGTCGAGTCTACGCTAGAGGGCTGCTCGGCGATGGCAAGGCGCATTCGGTGGAAAAGGACAGACGACAGTCTGATGTGCAAACCTATTCGTAGCAGTGCTCATAAAAACGATAAAGATAGTTTGGCAACATGACCATCGTGATTCTTCCAGTATTACATGGAATTTTTTATGGATTGCATTGGGATTTCAAATCTGCACCGCAAACCTGTTACGAAATAAACCATGTCATGACATGGACGATTAAAATGATCATGAATTTCCAGCAAAATCTGCTCCTATTTTGCATCCATAACTATATACAGGTACATTCAATCAATACGCCTTCACTGAACGTCTAATCCATCTCTCCTAACAAAACATAGCTGATACCCTACTTTGTCATCAGATTCAATGCCGCTGACAAAGGCATATAATTCACTGATTCTTAGGTAAGACTTGTTGTAATCCAAGTTTCATACAAATGTTAAACATTAGTCTGAATAAACGATTTGATTACTCTGGCGTGACGCAGCAACAAATTCAAAAGACTTTATCATCACATAGCGCAGGCCGATTTAACGTGCACATCTAAGAACACCACCAGGCCAATCAATCCCACGTCCTCTTCTACGGAGAGGTCATGGCTACGGAAAGATATTCAACGAAAGATATAAGTAGGTCGTATACTCCAGTAAACCAAAGCCAACTATAAAAGCCAACCGTCTACTCCAGAAGCCAAAAGCAATTATTTGTTGTCTAGGAATGGTTCGCTAACGCAGAGACATCTTTGGTGAGATTTTGCCGCTTCTGATTGATCCAGTTATGCAGGTGTCGTTCTAAGTTTCAGAATTTCATCGTTCGTATAATGAGATATTCTTGAATATTCGTATTATGAGATGTGTGTATTCTTGAACTAACAATGTGCCGGGTTTATGAACTGCAGAAAGGTGAATTTGATTTTTTGATGCTACTGAGAATAAACAGCTGACACAATCGAGAACGCCTACAATACCAGAATTTTATCTTCCCATAACACCCAGAGGTTCGCCACAATCAACGATGAAAACCGCAACGTAAACTGAAGTCGTTTTCGTAAACACCCTCCATTCATGCGCAACACCTTTCTCGATTTTGCCAGGCTGTTTATATTTCTGAGAGAATAACAGTTGGGTATCATAGCGAGCGACAACGCTGTCAAGCAAAGATCGTTGGAATTGATAAGGGAGAAAGAGCTAAAAATTAATGCGCACCAGCAGTCATTAGAAGTTGACAAGATGAATACAATGAACAAACCGTTCTTTGCGAAACTGCTGCAACATTCAATGTCGATGACGGCTTCGAGTTACCTGTTAATCTTTTCCTCCATTTCGCCAACGGAGCTAAGCATCAAAGTGACTTGATCAACGCGAAAAGTCGAATTTGGAATTTCGATTCGTAGCGCCATATCTTTAATTACCGAGTCAGGTACGGATTCGCCATGCTGTCGGACCCTGTTCCGCAGAATCGCTTCGTCAGTAGAACAGGCGATGAAAATTTGACCGAAACGAATTGAATCTAAAGAGCGCGTCAAACAAACGCAAATTCTCAACCGCACGATTGAAATTACACTTCCTGCACAATCCATAGTACTCCTGACGCATGCTCCGGTAGTACATGTTGTCATCAACCAGAATAAGCCGACGATTTTCAGACATATTACCATAACTGATGATTGTGCAAAACTTACTCCATACTGCGTCATTAACCTGTTCCGGTTTGGAAAGGCGAAGCTCAGCAGTAATAAATGTTTCGGTAGCTTTTACATACATCAGCAACTGCTCCATACACGCAAGAACCATTTTTCGCTGAAGGCTCCATTTATTCGATGGCTACGACAAACAAAGTTATGAAAGAAACAGCATTAAGCGACTTCTGCAGTCCACAATTAAAATAAACATATAAAGTTATCGTGTGCTAAACGGACTGCGTTCTATTCGGAATGTACGTTCATAGCATGTTCATAATACTACTTTACCAGTCTGAAGAAATAACTCAACCTTTTATTTTACTCTAAGTACAATATATCAGCGTATGATTAAAATCAGTCTTGAACAGCTATCATCATCAACGTTTGCTGATTCACTGCTGAATGAAGGCCTCCTGAGCACTTTCTCACTGACATGTTTTCTGCTATTTTCATTCAACGAAATTTAAGTCCATCGAAATTCTTTAGCTCATGCTGCCATCAATCCGGAGGCATTCCCATGGGCCGTTTCCTTTCTCTTAGAACTCAGCCTTGTGCCTCTCCGGACCGATGATCCGTTTTCTAGAAACATGCTCTGAGTATTGCCATTTCAACTTCTTCACTTCGGTAATGACATCGTTGACTCCTGTCTGTGCTCTTACCAGTTCATTCTTCTTCCTATTTCTTGTTATTCCCAACCGACATCTGTCCATGCTGCGTTGCACAGCCTGCCGTTTATGAATAACATTGAGGCTTAAGGTCAAAGTTTCGCACCCAGAAACTGATACTGCTCGAATAATTTCTGTTTCAAACACTACGGCAGGTTTCCAGATAAAAACACTTTCAGTCTTACAAAAGTGGTGCATGTCATTTTATTCTTCCGTTAACTTTACATTATCGATTTTATTTTGCAGAGATGGGTTGTTCCAGACAGACGTAGTTTAACAATTCTTTGAGCCCAAGTGTGTTGACGCCAGGTCGCGGGGTTACGTATTTGTTGAACATGCCCGAAGTCTTCATCGAGTTCATTTTCAGTCCTGCCTTGATGCTGATGTCGATAGGCTCCTGGGTTCTTCTCTGAAATACTTAATGACCTGGACAGGATCAGAAATGAATTCTGAATGACCTTGTCGTTCGCAAATCGCAAGAGGCTTAAGTAGCATTCATTTCTCTTCAGCGCAATGAAAAGAAACTTTCTTTCATGGAGTACCTGGAAAACTTTTAAGCCTGTTATGAACTGTTATGAATATCTTCGGCAACAACGTCCTTCCAGACGCCCTTTTCGATTTTAAACTTCTTGTGCTTTAGTGAAGCCTAATACTAGCAGCTGTAAATCATGGCGTTGAAGTTGCTGTATCTTTTCTCGATTCCCTGACTCTTCAGTGAATCCGGTACAGAACAGATGTACTCTGAGTTTAAAGCCCTCTTGAAATCGACGAACTCCTGGCAGACAGGAAGTTGATATTTATTGCTTGACTGAATTACTTGCTCAACTACCTGAAGATGATCCACCGTACTAAATCCACTTCTGAATCCTGACATGGCTTACAGAGTGCAATCTTCTGAAGGTCTGTTCTTCACTACCTTAATGACGATCTTGCAAACGATTGGCAACAAATCAAAATGTCTGTAGTTCTTCAAATCCTCTCTGTCTCCTTTTTTGTAGAGGACAATCACTGATTCGGTAGCGCAATTGTCACAAATTTCCAGTTCCTTCAGAGAGCAAGCAGTTCCTTCAGACAGTGAAAACAAGCGCGCTATTATCTAGGTAAATGCTTTACTTCCTTATTCCACGGGTTCCATAGTAATGCCGCATCGTCAGGATGCCTTCATCGCTTCGACTGTTTTGCTGCATGTCGCACTTCTTTTTGGCAAGATATTTGGAATTTTGTCAGCGTCATTTGTACTTTAGAGTCCTTTATCGTCTGTTACTGAGTTCAGTCTTTGCGGAGTTTTCGACAAAAATCTTCCACTATCTTTTGAACCCCTTGTCTGTACTCAATGAAAGTCTGGTCTTCCGCTTTGGGAGCTAAAATGTTTCACTTCTCGACCATCAATCGTCGATATAATTTCTTCGCGAATCGGTTGTTTTCAACAGCTTCCTTTACCAATCTGCATAAAAATGCTCAGATGTCTTCTTTTCTCCATTTTCTTAAACTTTGGAAAGTTCCACCTAATCGATCTTTGATTTCAGATCAGTTCCTATCGCCATTTCTCTGCGATCACTGATGAGTTTCAGTTCCTTCCTTCGTTCGTTTGCTACGTGATTTTTCGGTAGCCCTTAACAGTCAATCTACATCCATTCTATGAACAGCCACAGGGAGTGACAATTAACACATTGACATTAACGCAGTATATTAACACACAATTAACATAGCGACATTTAATGAAACTGAAAACGATAAACCATGAAAAAATAAGAACTATCGTCTGGATTGGTCGGCTAGCGTTTAAAATTGTGATGGATGTAACTGTCAGGCCAGGGGCGATGGTAATAAGCAAGACGATCTCGAAATTGTGCACGGCCGACACGGGCCAATTTAATGCGCATGTCAGAGCAGACGCTGAAAAATGGAAATGCTTGATTTGAATGAACGGCCCTAGCAACCTCAACGATAACGCATGAAGTTGCTGTGGCTTAATGCAAGCAACAGACTGTCCATTAAGAACACCTTCTTCGAGCATCGAAAAATGCATCAGTACACCTGGTATCGGGAAGCTTGTGCGCAGAAGTCAATGATCGATTTGATAACCGTATTGTCTGACTTAAGATGCTCAGTAATGGACGTTCGCGTTAAGAGAAGCATAGAACTATCAACGGATCATCACCTTGTTGTTGGCACGCTGCGCTGTAAGAAATGGAGTACCATACGAAGATCTGGTGGCAGAAGCAACCGGAGAATCAAATGGGAAACATTGTCTTCAGAGGACCCGAGAGCGAAATTTGCAAACAAATTCTTTCGCACGACGGTTTGAACAGATCACAGTGACGACAACTGATGTTGAATGCGAAGACTGATGAACACGAGAGGGACAACTCGCAATAAAAATAAGGAGGCTGCATTTAAGAAATAGCTTGGAAGCAAAGAATTTTCAACTCACAAACAATATGTAGAAGCGCACCAGGCGGCAGCGAAAGCAGTGGCGAAAGCCAAAGCTGATTCCTGAGAGAAACTCGGCGTGGTGCTACAGTCGAATTTCCAGACGGCAGACCATCCGCAGGCTTCGAGGTAAAAATAACAGCAGTCCAACACTCTTGAAGGACAGATCTGGACACCCTCTTAGCGAGAATATTGACACTACGGCGATGGAGGGAGTACTTTGAGCAACTCCTTAACCCCAAGCAACCGCAGGAAAAGTCGTTTGTAGAGCAAGAGAAAATAGATATTACCATTTCTGCGGATAAAATCACACAATCTGTGATAAGCTTGAAAAATGGAAAGGCTGCTGGAATTGATGAAATCCGCCCTGAAATGCTCAAGGCATTAGGCGAACAAGGCATGTGCCGTCCTACACATGTCTGTCAAACTGCAATGACTATGGAAAAGACATCAGCCGACCGGAGAATGGGGGTTCTTGCACCCCTGTTCAAGAAGGGAGACTACAGGGAATGCTCTAATTATTGGGGGATTACCATATTGAGTCTCCCAGGCACAGTCTACGCAAAGGTGCTACACAGGAGGTGCAGCAGAATAACTGACTCTAAGATATAAGAGCAGCTTAGCTTCC